GGGGTTGGGATACTCGGGGACCGAGCTTGGGGGCCTGTCGTGCAGGGAGAAGGTGTGTGGGGGATGGGGAATGGAGGGAGAAGGGTTTTGGTGTGAGGCGGGTGGTGGGCCTGGGGCGGGGGTCGCTTCTGGTTTGCTTCGGAAACGTCCCAGCTGCAGTCAACCAGAGGGGAAGGGAGTGGGGAAGTCACGGCGGGGCGGTCAGTCCGTTATGGGGAGATAAAAACCTCTGCTGAGTACTTTATGCGTAGTGTGCCTTCTCTAACAGAATAATTTGAAGGAGTGTGTCTCTGTTTGCCTTTTTGTATAGGAAAAAATTGAAAAGCACTTCTAAGTATATTTATCAGACTCTGTTTTTGAATGGGGAGAACAGCGACATCAAAATTTGTGCTCTGGGAGAAGAGTGGAACTTGCATAAGATATATTTGTGTCAGGTAAGTGGCTTCCTCACAATGGAAACTATTTTTAATAAAAGAATATTTGGTAAATGTTAAGTGTGACTTGAGGTATTTTTCTTTTCTTTTTTTTTCCTTATACTTCAGACTTACCACTCTTTCTGTGGATGCAAGTAGTTAACCAACTTGTGTTGTACTTTTGATAGTAATGTTAGGAAGCGTAGATGTAGCTTTGTGTTTGAAAAGTTTGTTTAGCTCTGTCTCTTGCCATTGGATTTTTTTAATCTGCTTGTCTTAACCTTAGCACATCCTTTGTGAAAACAGTTGTGAAAATTGTCTTTTGATGTCCTGAGAGTATGTTCTTGTTTCCTGAACAAATGACTGAGAGTTTCCTGCGATGTTAATATCATTGCAGAGCAAAGAAAGTGCTTCCAGAATGGATTTGTGAAGCACTTGGTAACCCGGTTCAGTTTTACTGTTCACTGGGGCTCGAATGTAGGTGCCTGAAGTGAAATGGCTGGAGCTGGGTCTCTGTATTTGTTATGCAGCCCTCATCCTTGGATGAAGGCTTTCTTCCTGCTGCATGAGGAAGGGATGCGCAGCTCTAAAAAGGAATAAATCGTAGTGCATACCTACAAAAAAGAGGCTGTTTCTACAAGCATTTTATCTTGGGTTTGTATTAAGGTGAAGTTCTTTGTGCTACCTCTTGTGTTTTGGGAGTGAAGAGGTTGTCTTTACTGCCTGTTCTCTTTATTACTTTTCACGTGACAGAAGTGGGGGAGAGACGATGGCTTTGTCTTGAAATGTCTCATTCAGTTGTGCCGTTAACTTTAAAGTGGGAGTCTAACCTTGGAAGCAATTTATTTGAAGCGAGAAGAGAAAGTAATGTCAGGTACTATACCTGAAAATGCGTGCACTTCTTTGTTAGCTGTAGTCAAACACCAAGCAGTTGTACGTGTTACAAGATGAAGATGTCGCTATGAGATGCTCAGCAGGTTGAATGCAGTTTCTCTGGTATAACAAATGATGGTAGAAGTGAATTCTTGACTTTTTTTTTTGTTACGTTAATGCCATGACTCCAGCGTAGGCATAGCAGTTACTTGCATTGGTCACAGTGAGGGGAAATTTCGTTGCTTTCTTGTAAGGAAAAGCCTTTTATTTTACATGTGTTAGAACCCTTTAATAAGCATAAAATGAGGGCAGGAATGTCATTTGTGTATAGCTCAGGACTGACCAGTGGCAGCCATCTCTGGGTAGAACAGTGAGTGTGTGACCAGGGGGGACAGCTGGCAGACACAGCTGTACTTATCTGCTGGCTTTTGACTCCGTGTAATAAAGGGAGGATATAAGTGGGTTCGACAGTTATGTTGTGCAGCATGAACAGAGTGGGTACGTTGTAGGTTCGTCCTTAGACTGTTGTTGGTGACGATGTTTTTAATCGTCATTGTGATTCTGTTGTTGCTACGTCTCAAGTTCGTGAAGCTAGTCCTTAAAGCTTAGTGTGGGTTGATGACTAAAACTGAACGATAAATTGCTTCTCAGGATGCTTTTTAGCAGACTTTGCAAACTGCAAATTTCTTCTGTAGAGCCCTTGTTGTACAAGTGATGTTCTTGTGAGATAAGTTAACCATGCTCATAAGTCAGGTTTCTGTTTCAATTTGCGCTCTATCATTGGCATTATGTTACTGTAGGTAAAATATTTTTGGAGGTTAAAAATAACTCTCAGTGAAATGGGGACTCCTCTGCCTTGTTGAGCAGACTATCTCAGTCTGAATGTTTCTGTTTCCTGATCTCTCAAGTTACTGCAGTTAGTTTGATAAACGACAGTAAGGTCCTGCTCTGCCCGTGAATGGCAGATCTGAGTAATGGAGGATATCCGTTTTCTGATGCTGTTTACTAAAATGATAATTTCCCATGAAATTGAGGAGTTGATCTACGTGGCCAAGCTTAGGTAGCCTCATGAGAATTGGTAAACTGAATAAGGTTCTGGCTTTGAGAGTAGTGTGTTGTATATCATCATAGTTAGGGGATATGCTGAAGGTACAGAAGTACTTACATAATCAAATAAAATAAAAATTGGTTTTTATGTCGTTTGCTGCCCTGAGTTGAAATGCTGAGTTAAGAGGTCAGGGAATATGGTCCTGTACAAATAGACTTTATTTTTTTGATCTCTCAGGTAAACTTCAGTGAGTGATAGCATCTCATAATGGGCACATCTGCTGCTGAGAAGGAAAAGCATGAATCCTAGTAGAGCAGTATATTTCACTTCATTTGGATGGAATCCTATCAAATTCTAGTTTTATATGCCTTACACTTTATAATAAAAGGTATATTTACATAAATGGTGTATGTGTATGTGTCCTTGGTATGAGACTACAATCTTATACATTAATTTGTATGTCTTGCATGCTTTTTTTTTTTTCTCTGCTGGTACCCAAACTGGCATTGCTTAATGCCTGCAGGATTTGTTGTCCACCAGTAACATTAAGGACTTAGTTTGTGGACTAATTATATCCCCATTGGTGGTGTGGTTTGTAGGAAAAGAGCTTATATGGCTTTTCTGGCCCTTTAAAGCTCTTTACTTGCTCTGATTACAGGCATGTAGTCCAAATTTTTTATACGCATTTTCACTTTCAGAAATAGAGCAACTACAATTAGCCCTTTCTCAAGTGTGTCAGAATGTTTTAGCTTGTGAAAAGTTCCCTTAATACATTTTGTTCTGCATAAAGGTAAATATTAACGATTTTTCATTCCGTGTGCTGCTTTTGACAGTTCTAATTTGAATGAAATCTCTTACTTGAGTTCTTTTTCTCTCATCTTCCCTCATACAGTCAGGCTACTTTTCCAGCATGTTCAGTGGATCTTGGAAAGAGTCTAGCATGAACGTCATCGAGTTGGAGATTCCTGACCAAAATATTGATATAGAAGGTAAGTGGTAACCTTTTATTTTACGTAAACTCTGGAGGTAGAGCTTAAGTTGAACCTGCCAAAAAAAACCTGTGGGTTTTTTTTAAAATAATTTTCAAACTAGTAAATAAGAATCTTGAGAGAATGAGTTCTCTGCTCATTTAGTTTTGCACTTAACTCGGGTCACCCGTAGAGTTGAATTCATACTTGTACCTCTGAGTTGGGAAGCGCAGCTGCAAAGCAGCCACTTGTCCTGTTGTTTTGGCAACGGGGCTCTTGAGATCAATGTCCGCAATGCTTGTGGAGACCCGAGGCTTAGAGCATGAATCACATCTTCATCTGTCTGGTCCTGAAACGCTACCGAGTGGAGTGCTTACAGGGGACTGATGTGAGTTGGCAGGACGTTTTGCTATGGTTCCAAGCTCTGCAGAATGAAGAAATAGTGTTTTTCAGAAAAATTGCAGAGAAACTTGGAACATCGTAGCAATATCTCAACATTATGCTAGAGGTCGATTGCAGAGAAGGATGATGAGGTTTAGCTTTTTATCTAGTTTTACTGCTTTGCACGTCGCTCTGTGGCATGACTTGGTAGCTGTTTTAAGATGAAAAGTGAAATAGTGAAAAGGACTACATTTTATTGGTTAATGCAGTGTTCTGTGTTTATGTGTGTGCTTGGGCTGGTAAATCCAGAACTTTTGGGCTTTTTATCCAGAGCAAGTAAGATTGTAGAGAATGTATGCACTTGAGTGGTTTGGTTGTGTTTACAGATTCTTTTAGTTATCCATCCTCAGTGTCCTGTCTTTGTTTGACACTTGTACTCTTTTCAGCTCTACAGGTGGCTTTTGGCTCACTGTATAGAGACGATGTGTTAATAAAACCCAGTCGAGTAGTTGCACTTTTAGCAGCAGCCTCCATGCTGCAACTTGTAAGTAATAAATATGCAATATTTTTATGGTTTCTTTCCAGATAAAGATAACAGTTCACGATATACTCACACACACCTATTGTTTCACCCAGAGAAATGAATCATCTTTTCAGTCTAGGTGGGGGAGAAACCCCAAACATAACGCACTGGTTTTATTTAAAAATGCTATGACTAAGAGTCAGTTGTAATATTAAGTGCTGCTTTGAGAATCATATCTAGAAGTAGATTAAAATATGTTTTAACAGCTCATTTGTTCTACCCTGAAGGTATTCATTAAGCTTTTCTTTCATGTGAGGTAGTCTTAAGAAGAATCTATTTTTCTGAGGAGCGTTGGTTTAAATTTTCTGGATGGCATAGCGCAGGGCACTGTAGCACACGTGACTTTTGGTAATTGTTCAGGCATGAAAATTTGTGGGAACTGCAAAATCTCTGACTTTTCCTGTTGGGAAATTAAAACTTTGAATATTTGTGGGTTTTTTTTCTTCCCCACAGGATGGCTTAATCCAGCAATGTGGTGAAACAATGAAGGAAACCATTAAAGCAAAAACTGTGTGTGGTTATTATAATTCAGCGGGGACATACGGGTTAGACTCTGTGAAGAAAAAGTAAGAATTACTTTCTCCAAGCTGCTTTGTACATTGTTAATTAAAAGTATCAACTTACAAACAGCAATATAATGCCCAAGTTAATTTTTTTTAGGCTGTCTGACTTGGGCTGTGCTTGTCCTGTTTAGTTTTTGAGTTTCTACTATAATCAATTACCTTAAATTTACTAAAGTACATTAGTAAAGGCAATATATTTGGTCGTCAGCATGACAACGAAATAATACTTGTGGTCATTGACTGTTTTATCACAAAGCTGCTTAAATATTTAGAACTTAAGCTTAACTTTATCTTAATTAGGAGGGCTAATTACACATTTGGGAGCAGAATGTTGAGGTTAGTGCTAACTGCTTCCTTATGCTGTGAATTAGTCTGCTCAGAGCTTTTTCTGGCACTAATAGGACTTTGAATTTAGCTTTCGCTGTACTTTGAGAGAAACTAAATACAAATTTAAGAGTTACAGAAAAATTTGGAAAGTTTCATGGTAAACTTCATGGTTTTGAAGTAACTTTTTCATGTTTTTACGCATTCATGTTTCTGATTAAAGTGGTATTTCAATATCACATGGTACGTAATCGGGCTTTGTGAGCCTGAGCAACTCTTGCAGGAATGTTAACGTTAACGTATTATAAGAAAATAACGTACTAATTCCTTGCTTTTAATCTAGGTGCCTTGAATGGCTCTTGAATAACCTGATGACTCACCAGAGTGTTGAACTCTTCAAAGAACTCAGGTACAGGCTTCAGTTAACATTGAGCGATGAAGTACAACTTCTTCCAAAGTATATAGCTCGCTACAAATAACGTTCTAGGCTATTGATGGTTGCTTGTTACCTAGCTTGCTTGCTTGCTTTTGGCTATACTGTCTCATCTGTCAATCTTCTGATTTTTCTTTTTTCTTATTTTTTCAGCATAAACGTCATGAAACAGCTGATTAGCTCTTCTAACCTATTTGTAATGCAAGTGGAAATGGACGTGTATACTGCTCTCAAAAAGGTACTTAGCAAAGGGGCTTTATGAATGAGGCTGAACTCCTGAGTAGTAGTTGATTTGTAACGTGATGAAAATTTTAGCCTTTTCGGTATTTACTGGAAGTATTTAATAGAGTATCAGAAACTCTGTGGGAATGAATATGTTATGAAAATGTCACTTTAATAATGCACATGTTACTTGTTTGAAAACTCCTTCAATTAACTCACTAGAGTTTGTTTATTTTACCTAGTGGATGTTCCTTCAGCTAGTGCCTTCTTGGAACGGGTCTTTGAAACAACTCTTAACCGAAGCTGATGCCTGGTTTGCCAAGCGTAGGAAAGGTAAGATTAATTCGCACTGCCTTGGATTGTGGAAGATTAGAAGGAAAATACGATAGTCTTCCTCTACTTCCAAACTTTTTCGCGTTTTCTCTGGGGAGGCTTAACTGCCAACAGTCCCTGGTCTCAACAGTGATAGCTTTTTACCCTGTTTTGCCAAATATTTTCAAGTGAGCACATAGCTTTTTCACCGTTTTGTCCATGTGTTTTCAAGTGAGCATGCATGGTTGCTATTTTTGCTTTGTTGCTTTTGCTATTGTTCAGTTAGGATAAGCTTTTGTTGCCTTCTCACTAGAAGGCACTAGCGTATTTCAAAAGAGGAAGAGTTTGGTCTAACGTTTTTGCTGAAAGGATTTGAAAGTAAGTGATTTCTTAATTTTACTTGCAAAACATGATTTGCCTCTCCATAATAACTTTCTCTGATCAATAAGTTAAAACTCGATCTCAAATATAAATAGGTCTGGAAAATATTCAGGAACATAAATTGTAATACCAGTGCTCTGTCTTGCAGATTTTGAGGGTGACATTGCATTCCTGGAGTCAGAACAGGGGAGTGCGTTCCTCTCGGTGTTCGCACACTTGAGATTACAGTATATCATCAGTGACTTGGCATCAGCCAGAATTGTTGAGAGAGACTCCTTGATACCCTCAGGTGAGTGAGTACTTGGCTGATCGAGTTCTGCGTACCTTTTCTAGTCTGTCTTACCCAAGTGGAATTGGGGAATATCTAGGTGCGTTTACTGGTCTTATTGCTCACGTGTTCATCTCCAATGTTAGAATTGTGGCTGAAATTCAGCAGAAGTTGAATATTAAATTTACATGCATAAAAATCTTAAAAGGCACACACGTAGGTGTGTTAAGCATTTTGTTGATCAGTCAGTTTATCAAAACACTCTATAGTCAATACATAGTGTTTAAGTGACCCCAGAGCCCCAGACATGCAAAAAACCTTTTCCTCTTAAGAGACCTAAACTTGCTGGGACTCAACTGTTTTGTAGCCATTATCTTTCTAAAAAGAGCTGGGTAGTTTTTGATAGTATTTGGAATAATACCTGAAGATGAAAACCGAAAGCATAAGGTGCTGTGAATCCTTGCCCCATCTTCAAAGACAAGTGTTATTTATTAAGAGATATTTAGGGTGTTTTTGGAGGAGGTAAGATATTTAAGTATTCCGCTCTTGTCCTTTTATTTGCATTTTGACTTCCATAAAAATACATCCTCATTCTAGGTCGTGGTGCTTTTTGAAGCCCATAGAGTGAAATGCCATTTAATATTATTATAGATTGTTGTTAGTAACATTACATTGTCACTGAAAAATAAAAAGCCCCATTCTCATTTTGCTGCTGAAGTCCGAGTTCACAGATAGGCTTTGTTCTGTGCTTGGAAGTTGTGTAAACCTGGCTGCTGATAGATGAATAAGACTGAAAATGAGTTGGGCTCTCACTTGAAAATGTTTTTCTGCTGTCTTTCATAGCTTTTATCATCTGAAACACCCACCCCTCCTTCTTTTTCCACTTCTTTATTTTTCTCCCTCCCCAGAGTTAATTGTGTTCTTTTGTAGCAGTGTTTGGACTTCTCATGCTCTGCCTTTGAATTTGGCTCTTGGTATCCTTGCTCCGTGTTTCACTCTGTTCAGTGTTCCCTGTTCATAGTTGAATATTAGCATTGAATTTTGCATCTTAACTCTGACAGCTTTTTTTTTTTCCTAGCTCACATGTACACAGCCTTGATGGGTTTTTTTAGTATCTGTCCACACTATAACCATTCATCTGTGTGTCTGTGATGTCTTATTTATAGGTGCAATTGCCAAATGTCAATTAAGACTGCTTTTATTGAGCTGTTTAGCACTCTTATTTGTAACTTCTTGACATCTGTGTTCTTGTCATCTGTCCATACTTGCAGCCTTGGGGTTCGCTTTGGCCTCTGGCCATATGTAAATATTTAACCTGTCTTTGAGTTACACTACTATCTTCCTGTAAAATTAAAATTATTTTTTTTCATCTCGCATTGGCTTTTTCCTTCATGCTGCCATAGATGTCAACACAGTGATGATACAATGCCAAAACAGACCTGTCGGGATATTTCCTTTGAAGCCTGCTAGCCCGATCAAATTGTTAGATGCTTTAATAACACTTTTCCTGCCATTAAGACAGTGAGCATCACTGCTCAGTTTGTCTTTCCTGCACTGCTGTGTCCTGTCTCTGCCAGAAATAATGGTTTCGTTGCTCTTTGTCGCTGAATAACCTTGAGCGCCTCCTTCTCGCGCTTTGAAATGTTTGAAGAGTGCAGGTTTCAGGAGCTGAATTGTGACTCTCTATGATAGGGGGTACCTGTCGGGAAGGGGTATGGTCCTATCTAGAAATCTTACTAGAAATCTTTCAGTCTCTTGAGTGAAAGTGGACAATTACTGCTGCTTAAATGTACTGGCTTTCCCTACCCCCAGTTCTGGTTTAAATTCATACTTTAATAGATGGAGAAGAGACTGTCTTCTGCACTAGTTCTGACAAAGTAAAATATGAAGGAACTCGGTTATCCTGTGCTCAAAACGTCTATTTAAAAGTGTTCTTTGAACAGCAGGTGGAGGCAGTGTGTTAGAGTGCTGCGGCAAGCTGAGGTGCAGTTTGGGTGAATGATCTGGTCGGTTATGTCCAGTAGGTGAGGCAGTTCTTGACCTCGAGCAAGCAATAAAATTTTATGTTATGCATAAAAATCCCGGAAGAACAGATCTGATCTTTGATATGTGGTATTTTATATACTTAAGTGATGTATAAAGTAAATATAATCCATGTTATTTCAGATTGATACTGGTACAGATTATAATCAAAGTGCAAAGGCATCTTCATTGTGTAATAAAAAATAAGATAACTTTGGCTGAATGACCCTTTAAATCCTTAACTTAATGATGGCACAGGAGAACTGTGGATTATTTCCTTGTGAAGTGGCTTTGTCAGCATGTGAGATGTTGCAAACCAGAAATTTGCCAGTACTACACTTGCTTTTCTTCTCTTAATGTTGCTGCTGTTATCGCTTACCAGAACTGTGCTGGGCAGCCTTTCCTTAGTGTTCTTCAGTGGATAGATTGTGTGTCTGTGCTCAAACCCAAAAGCCTTCTATCTTGGTACGTCAGAGGAAGAATGTTTCTTAAATTATTACAAGATTAATTGCAACTTCGAGGCTGATTTGCTTGTGCTTATTGAAAAAGAATGCAATTTTCTCATAGTTCTCAAGGTATTAGAGAACAAACTGTTTGCTCTTTCACAGATGTAACAGTTCATAAGCTGCGATAAATGCTGAAATAGGCTCGGTTGCTTTGTAGTCCTACAGTGGGAAAGGTAGTGTGATGACAATTTTTGAGTGCGTGGTGACTGCAGAAAGAGTATCTGATGTTTACGCTCTACCACTGTTTATGAATTAAAAAAAAAAAGAATAACTAAAAAGCCTGAATTCCAAGAGAGCTGGAAGAGCAGGGAGGGAAGAAGAGCATAATGTGGAGACCTCTGTGTGTGTAATGAAGTGCTGTTAGAGTTTAATACTTGATAGCCCTTGTGATCTGTTAATGCCAGTTTGTAGCCAAAAGCTGTATTACGATCAGGAACTCTTGCTTGTCATTTAAAAGGAGGCTTAGATAAATATTATTGGTGCACTTTTGAACAGATTATTGGCTGCCAGCATCCAGTATTTGAGGTGATCGCGTTGTACCCAAGAGACTCTACAAACTTGGAATTTGCTGGGTAGTTCGTATTGTAGTGTAAGCCTTTTAGATTGTTCTAGATGAAATTGTTCTCAGGGAGGTAAAGAAGGAAATCATCTTGAATAGTTTTAATGCCCTGTATGTGCATAGGACCTGCAGGAGAAAACTGTAGTACTATATTAGCAGTTCACAACAGAGAGCCTGTTCTTGTTTGCATAGAAAAGATGTGAGACAGAAATACATTATGTGTCTGTCTGCAAGCGAAGTGTTCGTTGTTCTGCTTTATAGCTCCTGATTTTTTCATTTGTGTATTTTTTTCCTTGTAGCACATCCATTCTCTGCTCGTTACCTATGTAGTTTTCATTAATCATTTTTATGCTTTCTGTTGTGCTTTGATTAATTTCCATTTTGGTCCTATCACAGTCTGAATCTTAACTCTAGAATTAGGAGGGCGAGGGCTGGTTTCAGGTTTGGCATCTGGGACTTCTAAGGCCATCTCAGCACTGTGATCTCGCTGCTTCTCCCTTCTATCATCTTCATCAACTACCTGTTTTGTTGTAGTGGTACCAGTGGTTCTCACTGTTCCTTCCATCCCATCCATTCCTCCATGGAGTTTGTTCTCGTGCGTGACCTTGCGTACTTGCCCCTGTTCGTTATCTTGACTAAGAAGAACTTACATACTGTGCTTTTGGGTGCTTGTGATCCCTTTTGTGTAACTTACTTACAAGCTATTAGGTTTTGTTCTGTTTTATCTCTTGGTTGCAACTGTTAAATTAATACAGCTGATAAAATCTTTATGGTGTTCTCAGATGAAGACATGATTTATGTTTATTCTTGGTAGGGGACAGTTTCTGTTTGTTTTTACCATATCCGTGATAAGCCTCTGTTTCCTTTATCCTTTGATTCTGTTTTCTTCTTGTTTAAATTGTGTAGAATTCTGTTGGGGATTCAGAAAAAAGCATCTTTTCCCAAGAGCTTGTTAACAAGCTCCTTGGCTTAACAGAACTTTGCGCGCCGAGAAAAATATGTTGAGTTGCATCACTTCTGGCAGTGGTAAATGCTTGATAAGATGAATATACTCCTGAGTTACTTAGTGTTGGTTGTTGATTTTTATCTGTACCGCTTCTTCTGTAGCTGTGGCCTGGAGATGAGTAACACAAGTGCAGTATGAGGTGGTGGGTTCGCATAGGCCAGTTATTCTCCACAGTTCCTAAGTGTAACCTTATTATTTCAATGTAATTTTATTTTTTATATTTCAAATGTTTGTGAACATCCTCCTTCCCCACTCCAAAGACAACACCAAGCTTTTTTTTTTCTTTAATTTTAGAATGGCTGTCCTCTGTTTACAAACAGCAGTGGTTTGCCATGCTCAGAGCAGAACAAGACAATGATATTGGGTAGGTATATTACAGGCTTTCCTTCCTTTCTTTCTTAAATTAGAAACCTTCCTGTCATATAAATTCTGCCATGATTAAGTTTTGGAGTTTACATTGAGAAGAGAGGGGTTAAAGCATACTTCAGTGGTTTTGAACTCCGTTGTTCTCAGGGGAGCTGTCTGTTCCCTTGGGCTGGCTGATCTCCTGTCCTTTAAACAGTAGAACTCCAGAGCACTTGTACAGCGCCACCAGAGGTAAACACTGGGGAGGGATGTTCTGTATGTTCTTTTATGTTGGTTAATGCTCCTCACTGGTACGTTGCCTTGAAATAACGTGTTGAGGCTGTGAAAGAGTAACTTAATAGCCTTCTGTTTTAAGGACGACTTTAGGAAAAGTACAGCGTATGGAGAAGAAGCGTTTTCTGTCCTGCTCCCTTTCTCCCTGGGCTAGGTGGGCAAGAGGTGGTGGTGCAATGGGACTAACTGTATTGGTACCGAAGGCAGTTTGTCGGTTTTTGTTTCTGCGGGGATAACTGCGCACTAACCTTTGTTCCTGCCTCTCCCAGCCTAGCCTCCCAGGCAGCGAGCGAGGGCCCAGCACCCAGCAGGGCTTGGCATCCTGTGACCTGGTCGCCTCATTCCCTTCTAATTTCACAGCCTTTCCCCTGCCCAGTGTTTGTGCGTGATAGCTCTCTCCGCTGCCAGCACCTCCATCTCCTCCCAGGCAGGGCATCCTTCTCCGCTGCTAAGACGCTGTTCTCTCCTTAATCCTCCTATTTTATATCCTATCTTTTCTCCTTCCTAGACCATGCGCTGTGCTGTGTTGGCATTTCATTGCCTTCGAGGAAGTTCCGTGACAGCTGCCGTGTTTCTGTGCCCTTTCAAAGACCTGCATGTAGCTGTACTTTGTGTAACGCCCTCACCGCTGTCTGTCTATGTAACACGTGGTTGGGTTTCTTGAGCCTGTGCTTAACAAGTGTTATCGGTGGTAGTGGCTTGAGCAGCGAGGCATGTTGCTTTAATGTATGTTACGTGTGTGCGTGTGATCACAAACTGTTTCCCTTCCTTCTGCTTGCTTTTTTTTTTTTAAGGGACTTTGCCAACTCCCTTAATCTTTTTCCAAATACCGAAACTGGCAAAATGTGATTGCGGGCGTTGTTCCTGCCTTTGTCTTCTCTCCTAGTTCTTGGTGTGCTTTGCAGACAATAAGGAAGCTGCAAAATGTTTGTTACCTTTCAAAACCCAATAAACCAACAACTTTATTTTCTTCCATCAGTTCCGTTAGGCCGGCATTTGCCATTCTGAAGATGAGCACGTTCGGTTGCAATGGTAGCCTTCACTTAGTAACTGCAATCTGAAAAGCATAAGAACCACTGTCCTGATTTGAACCAGAGGCCGTGCAGTCCGTGGCGGCATTCAGCGGTAGGGTTACAAATCTCCCGTCTTCATTTCAAGTGAAGAGTGAGTGTGCTCTTGATGTATTTCTCTGGCAGTCAGTAGTTCAGGATTTTCCAGTTGGAGGTTTTGGCTGGATCGTTATTGAACAACCAACCACCAATAGACCTGTTCTTAAACACGTTGAGTTCTTATGCTTTAGCCCCAACACCCTGTGGCGGTGGCTTCCATGGCTTAATTGTGTATTATATAGGAAATATTTCTTTGATTACTTCCTTTTGATATTGTCATGTAATAGTGTAAAAAAAAAAAAAGAGCCCCCAAAACTCTGACTTTATTCTTAATAAAAGTCAAGATCTTTAAATATTGGTTCTTTTTGTCAGTTGCACTGCTTTAGGAGAAGGTAGAAGTAAAGCACGTAATTGTAAATCTCATCATTTCAGCTCCTAAAGATTAATGTTGAGTGGTCGTAGCTTGTTTCTGATGCTATTCTTTTCTTGGGAAGACTTTTCTTATAATGTGATCATTGATGTATCTAACAGTAGGTCGTACATTGTGCGCTACCTTCTAGCTCGTATGGGAACCACAGTTAATATGAAAGTGAGTATTAACATAGTCATCACGATTCTGACACAAGATAAGACCGTGTATTTGCTTATTTTTGAATGTCTTTTGGTAGCTCACTGTAATGCAGTGAGAGTATTTTAATTGTCAGCCATCACACATCCATGCTTGTGAAAAATAAGCTCTCATACAAAACTGAAGTGAAGATGATGGAGATCACACCAGCTCTTAAAATGAGCAACTTCCATGTTCAGCTGCAGTGCTGATGGTTTCAGTGACTCTTGGAACGAGCAGAGTATTTTTCCATGTTTTTTGTGCTTGTCTATTTTTCTCTTTTGCAGTATGGGATTTTTAAAAATTTTTTTAAGGCAGCTAAAACTGAAAATCTCAGGCAGAGAAAGTTTTACTAAACAATAGGCTTCTGTTTGCCCAAATCTTATTCTGGCATTGGTTGCCAAGGGCTTTCATCAACGGCAATGGTAAGAAGCAGGTGAGATGTAGTGTTTCTTCTCAGTATGTCTTAGCTTCTGACTTTAGTAGGTTACAAACTTAATGGTTCAAGGTGGCATGCAGGTTCCTGTTTGTTTAACAGTCAATAATGGACTAATTGTCTTTGAACATAGTGTTCTCTGGAGTTGTGTGGGAGGGAGATGGTGGGGGGTTGCGCATGTGTGCGTGGAGTGCTTCCCGGCAGTGCTGTGCAGTTGTAATGTCGCTAGCCCATAGCACGCGACCTCTGGAGAGAAGAAGATAAAGATAGAAGGTAAAAGAAGAAGATAAATGTTACTTGAAGTCCTGAGATCACTTGTCTGTCTTCTCCTGGCCAGCTGCACTGCCACCCCACAGCGAGATGCCTGTGGTTCATAACTCATGGCTTAGAAGGCAAGACGTGCAACTGTCCCTTTGCGTTAAAGCAAATATTCTGGACGTTCGACCAACCTGTAGCTGAAAGAAAAGAATTAGGATTTTATAAGATCATCCTTTTATCCAGATCGCTGCCCTTCCTTTTGCGCTCACTGCCTGTATCAGTACCTTAACTCGTTTTCTGCCTTTTTAAGGCAGAAATAAGGCAGAGATAAGGGTGCAGACTTAGTAAGCTGATTGAAATGTGAAGTCTGAGTCCCAGTGAGCTGAAGTAAGGCTCTATGTTCATACCCCACCTGGTGCACCGCATAATTGCACCTGCTTATTCTAGGGCTGCCAACAGGGAAATTACGTTGCTTTGAAATGTGCAATGTGGTTTGCTCTTTTGATAACTTTAGAGAGGAGAAGAAAATGTTTCTCTTCTACTTTATGTAGTTTGCATTTAAAAGGACTAAACGTTTTATTCACTCTTCAGAATTTGAGAATTTTTTAGTGTAATACTGGAGTTTATGACTTTGAACTGTAGCTGCTCAAGGTTTACTTCTTGTGCTGAAGTGGATCACTTTTTTCTTTTTTTAATTAAACATTTGTTCTGTGGCAGATGCAAGACAGATCTTTCGAGCCCATGACTGGGATCGTTTCTACTCTAATAGTCTCTTTGGCAGTGTTTAAGAACAAAATAGAGTAACTTGACTATTCACTAGGCATATGGTAGGGCAGTGTAAGTGGTTAAAGCTGGAAGTTTTGCATCTTCTGGGGCTGCTGGAGGAACTGGGAGGTCGGAATACTAATGTCTGTCTGAACATTATGTGCTAATGTTTGTGAAATTTGTCACTAATTAAACCAAAATAAATCTTTTATCACCATTACTGAATTTAGGTCAGCTACATAACCAGTTCAGCTAGAAGATGTGGAAAAAGCACACGGGAGGTTCTTGGATGAATTTGGTTAACACGATTAGCTTATTTCCTTAACTTATTCATAAAATACTTAATCTTCCAGGATTGGTTTTCACAGAAACGGGGGGTGAAAAGACCACAGACTGAGTTTGTTCATAAAAGCTATTGCCAAAAATTCCTGTGGTGTGTGTACAGTAGGAAGAGAACAGACGCTGCGTTTCTTCTGGCTGATATAGCTTGAAGTATATTGTTTGATATTGCAGGTTTATAATTTCACTTGCGTGTGGGGGTTGCCTTTCATTATGATTTATAATACTCACTTTAAGCGTTTGTCCTCAGTGTAACTTGATGACTTTCTGGCAGTGGTTGCTTATTTGGTTAATGATGTAATCGTGCCTAAAGTTAAGTGAGTAACATACCTCTGGAAAACTGGGACTGATTTGACTTACGCTGGCTCGGCAAGATTTTTCTACGTGTTGAAGTGCCAGTGGAAACTGTTGGGTGAAACAAGTTCACATTGGTATAGAATGAGAGAATCCGAGAGGCTTATGGCACTTCGTGATGGCTGCGGGTAAAATTTTTAGACAAGTTGCATAACCAGCCTCTTGAGAAATCTTTCACGATGTCTCTGTGGGCGCTCCTTCGTAGCACGGCTGTTCTGCGGAGTTCTGCAGCTGCTCCTTGCAGTAGCACTCATTTATGTTTGTACCTGATGAGTCGGGGCTACTGCGTTCGAAAAGGATTTCGGGTTGTTTTTTTTTTTTAAGGAGGATTAGAGAAAGTATTTCATTGCAACAGCTATTATTTTCTTATCTAGAAGGTTCTTTTGTAAAAGTCCTGCCTCACTGAGGTTTGTACTGCGGTTTTGTAGAGTAATTGGATGTTCGTGGGATAAATTTGGGTTGGAAGGGATCCTGGGAGGTCACTAGCCTGACCTCTGCGCAAAGAAGGGTCACTTCACTCAGGTCTGTTCATCTTTCCCACGGTAAAGTACCATACAGAGCTCTTCAAGTGTCCTTAAAGACGCCTCTTTTTTTGTAGGCCTCAAGAAATAGATAAAGAGGAACTGGAAGCAAACAGCATGAGGTGTGGTCGAAAACTTGCAAAGGACGGTGATGTAAGTATGGCATGTGGCGAAGTCTGTGCGCAGCTAACGTGTCTTAGACATGTTAGCTATTTTCACGACATGTGGGTCTTAATTGTCAAACTGCATGAAAAAGATGTAATGGAGATGGTACATTAAGGAAATTCTTTTGTTCTCCCCAGAAGGATGAAGACACTTGCTGTCTTTACAGTAAATAAGGGATTCAGTGTTTTAACTCCGCTCTTGTGCTGGAAGAAAGCTGATGTTTGGAAAAACTTCTAGTGTGTGAAAGGAAGGAATGTAGCTGTGACTGGTCATTTGAGACTTGCAAAATACTTGCAGTTAAAATACAGCGCTGATCGCTGACGTCTTTTTTTTTTTTTAACTGGAAAAGGAAGCTTTCTCGATCAAATGTGTAATAGTCCCAGCCAGAAGCCCTGTGTGTTCCATATACGCGTGTGTGTCTTGAGGTAACAGGTCTTGTGAAAAAACAGGAAACAGGAATGTTTTCCTGCTGCGGTCGCTTAACCCAAGGACGTGTCACTGCAAGGAGTGCTTTGCACGTGAATGGGACCTGTAGTTAAGTGCTTCTTAGAAATACAGCACTAGTTACTGGAATGCAGAAGTATTTTCGATCCACTGGTGTTAAAGGTATTTTTGTACGTTTGGGAGGCAGCTGATAGTAAGCTTGTCCTGTGTATCAGCTGTCCGCCAGGGCTGGCTGCTAAAGTTGCCTACCGAGATGTCTTATGCTTCAAATAGGTGTTGGCAAGGATCCTTGAATCCACCATACATCTCCGTAGCCGAGAATCCGATTCCCAAATTCGATTTGTTGGAGAGATAGCGCTTATGGTTCGTGTTGTAGCCAATACTCAGCCTGGTTTGTTTGAGTTTGGTTGGTTTTTTTTTTTCACTCATGTTCTTCAGTACTGCTGGCGGTGGACTGGGTTCAACTTTGGCTTTGACCTTCTTGTTACTTATACAAATCGTTACATCATTTTCAAACGGAATACGCTGAATCAGCCGTGCAGCGGATCGGTCAGTCTGCAGCCTCGGAGGAACATAGCCTTCAGGTAAACGGTAACCGAGAAGGCAGACCCTGTGGGATGTACTAAAATGTCTTCCCGTAATGAAGTCTTTCCATCTGTGCTGGCATTAAATTTTGTTGCCACCAAGTTAGTTATGTTTGAAAATGTGATTCTGTCTCCTTGGGAGACACTCTTTGCACTGGAAAAATAAGTTATGGGATGTGACTGTTGTGTTATCCATAGGTTACGTCTCGCCTCTTTTGATAGCAATGGGAAAATTATTTGCAGTAGAACGACGGGATATCGGATCCTGACCCTTGAGAAGGACCAGGTACGTTTGTGGAGTTTTGAGCCGTTGAACTTGAGTGGTGGAGTCCAAGGCATGAAAAAAATGCCGAGAAGTCAACAGTGCTTTTGAAGAGAAGTTGTTCTGCTTGTTGTTATTGCTGATGTGGAATTTCAAGCGTTTCTTTTATAGGTAGTGGAAGATTAAGCTGATTTGTGAAGTGTAACTAGAGTAGGATAGCTTGGATTTCATTAGCGTTGATAATAGTGAAATTCATTCCCGTAGTGCTGCTGAAGCTGTCTGCTGCTCATGCGGTGTTCTGCTGCGCAACAGTGTCCTGGTTTGAGGCTTGCCCAGAGCCCAGACTTCCAGCGCTGCTGAGGTTACTCGTCTGAATAATGCAGACCATATACAGGCCATCAGACTCCTGCTTATTTAGAGGCAAATTTGGAGTTTGTTTGAAGGCTCTCATGTATTGTAAGCTGAAGAGCTAAGAGAATGTCTGTGTATTGTTCAGGGTGCTATTTATTAGTCTCCTAAAATAATAAATAAAAGCCTTAAAGAGAAGTGGAGTTTTCTTAAGCGAACGTGCCCATTTCCACCTGTCTGGGACAGAAGAATTTAGTAGGGAATGTGAAAGACTTGATCACCAAGTTTCTTAAGTCCTAGTCAGCAGCGATAGGTAGATGGCGAGTGCATGGAGAACTTTTCCTTGTAAGTGCCATCCTTACTATAGGATAAAGTTTCAATTTTGCTACCCCAAACCCAGTTCCTAGAGTAAAACTGAAAAATTCCTACCAAGAAACTGTAATGTGCTTTAAAGTGAAGACTGTTATGGATTGTCTGGGTGGTTAAATCTCCTGAAACTGGTAGTGGCAGAAAAGTCTCCCTTTCTCTCCAGCGTACTTGAAGGTAAAGTTTGCTCAGCCGTTTCTTCTGGTTCTGTTATCTTTGACACAGAAGGGTTGGTGGAACTGGGTCAAAGGGTTATGAGTGTTTTGAGAATATCTTATCGGTGTTAATACTATCAAACATCTGGTTAAGGTGAATTACTATCTTGACTTTATCTTCTGCTTTTTAATACATAGTAATTAAAATGTTTAGAATGACTATTAGGATCAAACTTTTGTGCTTTTTGGTGTACTTCCCTCCAACAGTGTCGCTTACTATGCACGTCTGCTGCGTTTGCTTTACAGGAGGAGGTAGTGATGAATTTGGACAGCAGACTCCTGATCTTCCCGCTCTATATCTGCTGTAACTTCTTGTACACGTCACCGGAGAAGAAGGCTGACAGTGAGGCGCTGCCGGATCATTCGGAAACCTGAGACCTCTTCCGTGGAATATAGTAGCACTTCTATAACTCCGTATGCCTGCTTCAAGTTACATGCCCTGCTGACGCACAGAGCTTCGACAACAAAAAAGGCCTTACACTGTAGCAAATATATATACATATGGCCTTAGTATACTCCTATGCATATCTGAAGAGAAGATCAGAAATTATATTCGCCAAAACTAGTTATCCCTTTTTTTATTATTATTATTATTATTATTTCTGTTCTGCATCTTCAGCCCGTAGCCATTCCGTGTTTGAGAAATGTTACGCTTTTATTTTTCTGGGCAAAAACTGAGCCAAATTGGAAATAGGGAGTTTGTGTGAATGACATCTTACAAACTTACCTGTCAGATTCTGAGCACACCTTGTGGGACGTGTGCTTTTTGTTGGTGTGGTTTTGGGTTTGTTTTTTGTTTTTTAATAACTGATCTGTAAATACCAGATCCATATTCTGCTCACTTTTGTGGCCCTTTTCCATTAGGGCCAAATACATCTGTGTAAATGTTGCCTGTCAACTTTTGTTAGTTATTTAACTGTACAGACTTTCCAACTTGCTTGTTTTTAAGCCTTTATTGTGTCTCATACGCATACATCTTATTCCTGTTCTTGGGCTTTTTTTAACGTTACAGAAGATATATGTCTTTTTTTAGCACGTGTATTTGCTAATAAGGATGCTCATAAGCGAGTTATTTTTTTCCACGTACTGAAAATACTCGAATGTAGTAACCATCATGTGAGTCTGTTACACAGCAGCAGCTTTTGGCTAGATTCTACTGAATGCTCACTATACTCACAGGAACCAAATACCAGTTTTTAAACATTGTTTTTTGACTTAACTGTTACATTGGGAATATATCCCCTTTTAGCTCAGGAACTTGTGACCTTCGAGTGCCTTTTGAGTTGTACGTGTTAACGCAAACTTCCCATCAGTTAAGCAAGGTCACAGGATCCGAAGGAAGAGCTGGGAACAAGGGATTCCTTTTCAGTTGGTTTGACGAATGAGTCAAGTGTAAGAGGTACACTGTCTCCGTCCTTTGTGTGTTGGGTTTTATGTTTGTCTGTTGCAATTTTGAATTCTTACGGCGGGATTTTTGGATTCCAAGTGGCAATTTTGCCTCTTTAGTAGCCTATTTTTTTAATGTTGTCAGAACAGTATAAAACCATTTGTACTTTATAACAAGGAGAAAAATGCGTTGGGCAAGATGGAAAAACATGGCAACTTGTCAATAAATGATTTCAAGTGGAGTACTCACCCGTGTCTGTCCTTTTCTGCCATGAATCGCTTTTTCCATTGGATTTCGCCTGTGGATGCAGCTCTGTATAAGCTTACGTTGTGTCAGACTTCTTTGGAAGCAGAGAGCAGAAGCGTTTTAAAGCGTTCATCTGCTACGGCATCGACCTTGGTATTTAGATACTTAAGTAAGCGGTCTTTCTTTTTTTTTTAACCAGAAGGACCGAGACTTTAAAACTGTGATTGATTCAGTGGAAGGAAACGTGCTGCCTGTCAATGGCAGAACAGGTACATCAAAATTCTTGGGGCTGATGTAAATTGTTGATGTTGAAATCTAAGCTTTGCCGGTGGGTTGAGCTGCCGCAGGGCTCCTGCTTTGCGCGGAGGGCTCGGCACCTCCCGGTCAGGTCCGCATCCTGCTCTGCCCTCGCACCCTCCCGTCTCCCAGCGCCACCCACAGCCCCTCTTCTCCCCGGACAGGTCCTTGCGGGGTGTGAGTGCACATCTGCACTTGCTGCTGGGGAACCACCACCCTGCGGTGCAGTGAGGATGGGGGATATGGAGCCAAGAGCGTACCTGAAACTCATTCTGATATTTTTTTCCAGTCATTAACGACTCCTTCCCGTGGTCTCTGGGTCTCCCAATCCTACTGGTCCCCTCCCTCACCCTCCTGGTTTTGGGGGGACTGTCAGTGCAATCAAACAAATTCCTTCCCAGCTTTGGTCTTTCTTCCCAGCGGATGGGATTTGGGATGGGGCAGTGGTGTTGGGTGCCCTTCCTAAGGGATTGCTAAGGAAGTGTGGGGTGGGGAGGGGGGGGGAGCGAGAGGAGCACAGAAACCCAAAAACATCACAACTTACCCCAGAAAATGGGTGGTTGGTTTTGGTTTGTTTTTTTAACTCTCTTTTATTTGTCACTGACTAGGAGCAGCAATGGTGGCAAAGGGGAGCTGAGGAGTACAACACCACACTCAGGAAAACGGTATGAAAAGTACAAAAATAAGGAAGCCTATATATAATATAATTGCAGTCAATTACTAAAAATAAATATTGTAAACACGAAATAACAACACCAGGTGAATCTACAGTCACTCATTTCTGCTAGCAGCTGAACAGTCTTTGGCTTTATTTAACTCCCCCCGCCCCGCACGGAGCCAACACCCGCACTAAGATGCATTTTCTTTGCTTCAGGCCGGGGACACCCCGGACGTGTCAGGGATGTCACAAGGGGAATAATATCACCTTGTCACCAGGAATCGCCTCTCTTGCCTTCTGTGACCATTCCTCTACCAGAGCGAGCAAAACGATCTCTCAAAAGAAGGTATTCTTTATCTGCTGGGGGGGAGGAGGTTGTGGGAGGTGGGGGACCGAGGCTCCCCCCGTGCCAGTTTGTTTTGCTGCTGCCACCCGTTGCATGGGGAACTTGTGGTTTTCCTCACTGTTTTACACCTCTCCCCGCTCCCCTCCCGCCCACTGGACCTTTTCACCCTCTTATCTCTGTCAGATAGCCCGGGCGTGTTTGGATTGCCCGATAAGAGTCGGTGCAGCGCAGAGGCACCGAGTTATCCCGGGTCAAACCACAGCTGAGCTGCTTCCAGGGCAGAGATCTGCGCGTCTCGGGCACTCCTTAAACATCTCAATACAAC